AAACGTTTCGTCGAAGCATCCATTGTCGCAATGTTTGTTGATGCACGCGCAAACCTCGCAAAACCGGGCAAATCTCGCGAACGCATCGTCAAAACAAAGCCACGGGAACGCGATTTGTTTTCAAAAGCGAATTCTGACGAGATACGCGCGCGTTAAATCCGAGTTAACATTGTTAGTGTGCGTGAATATGCGGGTGTCCACTTTCCTATTAAGAGGGTCGGAGATGAGATAGACGTGACCCCGGTTGATCCCGCACTGCAATTGACACCCAGCGCTCACTATTTGCTTTAACGAATGGCCGCAAGCGACAATTAACGTCTCTGCCCCGCTCTAACGCCCGTGTAATGCGTCTGTGTCCTAACTTAGGTCTACTCATTCGGGATTGCAATTTTGTATCCCAAAATATCATATTTTCACGATGTTACCTAAAATCCTATTCGATACGAGACAATGAAGACCAATTTAGGGTCGTAGGGGACAAATTGGGCGCGACAATCGAGTTAGCTGACCCCGAGTGCTTTACACGACCATCTCGGCCGTATTGTGTCGACGCAGGGCCTCAATCAAAGTCATTCTTACAAATTGTATCAATCATTTAAACAGCTCCTGCCTGCTGCGTGTGACCTATTACATGTAGGAAACTGGTAGCCGACGTTTTTTGTTTGCTGTCTTAATGTCTTTATCGGTATAACTTATTCTTAGTGTATAAATTTATTGTTTAATAAAAAGCATCACCACTAATTGTTATAGAAATGAGTATGGATGCGTGTATATGTTTTTAATTGAAATACATTAGCATGCATTTCCATTAAATATTCTTTATGCAAGTGTAGTACGAAGTGATGCATCGAACATTGTACTATTGTTTTCCGATATAGGACAAGTGAACTAGACATTTAAATCCCCCACAGCCGCATAACAAATATAATATCAAAACGCAAAAATAATGAAAACGTATCAAGTAAGTAGGTATAATTTATTCAAATCTATATGATATAAAATAGTAAAAACAAACATGTTATCTTATATTTGGCAAGTAGTTTTAGACATTAATTTGTTATTAATACGACGATTTGGAATTTTAATGCGCATTAATTTTATAGTCAAAACAAGTAAGTATTTAAAGTCTTAACATATAGCTAATAATGCCTTAACAATGAAATTAATATCACTGAATAGTCGTGAGAAGCTGCTGCAAGCTCAGAAGTGTCCTTAACCATAAATCTATCCACTGCACCACACTGAACCCTCGACAGTTATTAAAATGTAATGGAGTTGTTTACTCGTTAACCCTTGAACCTTCTATATAGGGCCTTCTGCACCATTACTATCAATTTGTTACATTACACATCCATTATTAGTATTTAAACTGGTGTTTAATACGTTCAGAGCCACTTAACCGATTCGAATTGAGCCCTTTTAATATGCAAAGTGTTTTCATCATGCAGCGATGAATGGTGGCTGTCAATGGCTCGATTAAAAATAACCATCGACTACAAATTGATTTAGATTAGAGTTCAGTTAATAGGCTTCTCGTCCACCTCCCATAGACCCACAGTTAACTTTGCATCGAGCAGGCAATGGTCAAATTCGGGCTCGTGTATAGGCGAATGAGCACTTTAAGCGTAACCACAAAAGTTAGCAAAAGAGTCCGTTCCGGCCCGGCGGGCCGTGTGAGAACGCGAGTGCGGCGGGGGTCGGCGAGGGTTGGGGGATGGCGGTGGGGAAATGGGGAAGCGGGCCGGAAGCGCCTGTGCCGGATCGCACCACGCACCTGTGGGAATTCTGCTCGCAATTTGAATACACTCACTCGATACCGTAGAGAGCGTCACCTTGTAACTTAACGCATCGCTTATCTTTTAATTATTGTTGTTTCGTTAGACGCGAACCGGTTTTATTTAATAGCAACCATTCACGAACCTAATCGAAAAAGATAGAACGTTAAGTGTGTCATGAGCGGAGTCGAATGCAAAATTCACGAAACGTGTACTTCTAGTTGTCATTCGGGCGCTAAGCGAAATGAACAGTAGTCGGCGAAGCCAGAACTTTTCAACCGTGACCTGAGCGACCGTTCGCCAAAATGAAAAACAGTGAAGAGTGTTTGCTCCGACTTTGAGTCGCTCCAGTAGAAACAGTGATATTTATGGATCTTATTTAGTTCTCAAACTCTGAAAGAACGTTGTGAATAGTGCTCAAACGAAATAGAAAAACCTGCGGCAGACCCATTCGAGGCGACGGCGGCCATCGCAGGCATGGGAATCAAAGTCATGATGAAAGCTTTCAATAAGCCGAAAGGTGAGTGAAACAAACAACGTTAGCATTATAAAGAACTCAGTACGTACTTAAAATAATAGCGAGCGAAGGTAAGTATAGGTATTGCACATAGCCACACACGAGTGCCGGTTGTGAAAATTCAAGTGATGATACTTTACTATACTCGGTGACGCAAGCAGACGCAACGCTCTTGGTTTCGCCTGCACTTGTCCCAGATGCTAACCCGCCGTGACTGAGCAATATATGAAAACAGAAAACGTATTGTTGTTGTATCACTTTATTATATGAGTTTTATTTATCTCGTATTAACAATAAAGGCGGTCGCTCCAAATTCATTCCCATATGGGAATGATTGGTAGCATTTTTATATAAACCTCGAAGTACAGTTTTTTCCTTATCAAATGGGCTCGTTTATGCAAGCCGCTCTCATTACTCTAATTATGATGTATTGCTCTGATGATCTTGAAAGCGAACACCTCGCCAACGACCGTGATTATATGAGTTTGTTTACTTACACTGCGGGGTAGCGTAAAACGGGCTAATTTCTGATGCTTTATTGCATTTAGCTTATTCTTCCCAATTTGTTCTATTGTTATCTTTGACGAGGGCGAAGGAGCCAGCAAAATGCCTGCATTTTAAACCATGAATAGGTTCATAACATCATTCCTCTTCCGTAAATTGTGGTTAAATTAGTATGTCGTTGAATTTCATTTGGAACTCGATACTAATAAAAGCGAGAACAGTATTATTGGTGTTTGGGCTGATTTGCTCCGCCATGTATTGTTTAGCTGCCGCGAGTTGAGGAGTGCGGGGGCGGCCATTCACGCCGCTGATTGGTCCATCCGGTGCGCGCTCAATGAGATGATGCGCCTGAGCCGCCTCTGTCATTGAGCTAAGGTCTCTCGCCTACATTTATGATCGTTCTATGGTTGTCTTTCGGTTTATCGGAAAGAATAGTGTTATTTGCGCGTAGTTTTCTAAAACTTTCATAAAAGTGTTTTCATTACAATACGTTAGCCTTGAACTACAAACACCTAGTCTTTTACACATTATATACTTTAATAACACGAGTGTGAGGAACAGTTATCATAGTTAATTAAACAAAACCGAGTTTAGAATTGAATACAGAGCACGCGCCGTTTACGTCATGCAACGTTCAAACAGAAAACAATGCTCGGTTAAAAATGGCAAGAGCTTTTTTTTCCTCTTGTACCTTCGGTTTGAACTCATATTTTCCTCAATCTTAATATAAACATTCAAAAGATTACTTTATTAAACAGTATGTATATATATAATAATAATATTAGTTGTGGGGTAGCCTCAATTCGTAGCAACAAGTGACCCACCCTCCGTCAACACCTGTTGCAGCCGCATGGACACTAAAACACACTGTTCCTCTAAGACGTTTCGATTGGTTAACTACTGGAAGGTACAATCCACATTTGAAGGCTAAATGTTGCGGGCATTATTTTGGTGGGCAGCGGGCCGCATCTCCTGGCCATTGTGCCGTTATCTACGCTATTCACAATTCGGCCCACACCACAGATGTGGCACCACAATTTAGCATTCGATTCAATGCTAAAACAATGAACGTTCAGCCATCGTGCATTGACAAAAAATTTCTAATTTTGGTGTACATTATAGTTTAGCTTTTAAAGTTAATTGGATTTACTTTAAAAGCTATGTTATTGTACAGTATAAGAGAGAAAAACCTTCAAATATGAATGCATTAGAAAAGTGGGAAAACATTTATTATTTTATACAATGATTTCTTTAGTAAGCATTTTCTGCAATATACGCGTTCGGTTCTACATTTCTCTAGTCACCTGGAGCCACCAAGGATGGGTCCGATCACAAATACGACAATTAAACTCAAATCGCTCCGTTCACATAACTATAACTAGGGAAGCTGAAATGTTGACACGCTTTTTGCGAGAACATTGCATTTTAAAAATAATACTGCTGGGTATTTACGATGAAATTACAACTTAACTTTGTGTTGGAAAATATATGCAACTCTCTACGTCCAAACATATTCAGATCAACTGTTACAATTAGAATGAAGCATATGCCATCAAAAACAAAACAAAGACAGTTAGTGAAACTAAATTGTTGCTCGCACGTGACTTAACAACAGTATATACTACGTATTATAAGCGATAAATCCTCTACATCTAATTAATTACATCATTAATCTGCCAGGTGTGCGCTGCACGATACGTCATCCTTTATACGTATTAGAATTTTTCTGTTTCCCTTATGCGTTTCCATATTTATCTCTAAATACTTATTCTAGATAGTAGTATCATTAATTGAACATTTAAATTGCTATAATACTAAGTGTATTAAACACTCAAAAATATTTTCACATCCCTCAGTAGTTGTTTTATCTAAACCGAAATGACTACTGTAGTACAATTTACTTTAAAAAATGGAGGAATCGCCAAAGTACAAAATAAATTATTTTAAAATTTACATTTGAACGCTATAAAACAAACGTTCTGGCTTAAACAACCTGTTTGGCAGCTCAATAAATAATAACGACGCCTTTAACTTGTAATAAATTAACAAGAGGAACTTTATTAAGGAACATGAAATCTCTTTCGCGTGCCTACGGATTGTCGATAGGTTTGTATGCTGGAACCTTCCTCTGTACTACTACGAGGACGATTATAAAATATACTTTGAAAAATATTTAAATTGATCAGAACGAACGATCCTCCTAGATGAGAGCGGGCACCGACCGTGGGATTCGAAGAGTACAAATCTCTACATCTCAGAACTGGTCGGCAGGTGTGCAAGCGCACACGGCCGCACACCCACGCACACACGCGCACAAACCAGACGCACTTATGAATGAACCAAAGTACCAACCGGCACATGAACGCCGCTTTATCATTGATTTATATTAAAAATCAAATATTAATTTGTTGTTGAGAAATACCGTGGATGAAGTAATTAAATGTCAGATAATCATTTCGGCTGATGAGTTTGTCGTCTGATTAAACGACACACGCCGCGACGACACACATTTGTGTGTTAAGAGGGCTTTGAGATACCGAATTCATTATTTACACTTATCGTTTTCGTTTCTCTTTGATAGCTACGAGTGCCTATTAGGTTCCGTTTCAAGCGAAGTATATAATAATAAACAATGTTCAACAAATAGAGAAAAATACAAGTAAAATAATTGGTAAACACTCGTTTCTGTTGCAGACATCCCGTCGCAGGTGCCACCCCTGACGCCGGGCACCAATAAGAAGATGGCCGAGGCGCTGAAGGCTACCTTCGCCTCCTGGGAGAAGGAGCAACTGCGCCTCGGGGTACCCAAAGGTGTGTAACTGTGTAGTTATTAAAAGTCAAAACTCATTTATTCATGTACATTTATGAACGTCAAAAAAGAAAAATACATTAAATGCTGCATAATTTTACATTTACTTTATTAATCTTCTATTAGAAAATAATTTTGGGAGGACTCCGAGGAAAGCCGATGTAAGTAGTGGAACTGCGTGCCAATTTATTTCATCTAGGTATAACATGTTATGTATATCAAAGCGAAATAAGTATTTGCATTCGCCAAAGCACGGAATAAAATTGACATCAACCAGACGATGACTGTCATTCATTTACATATGAAAAGTGGTCTGTGTATGTACTTTGGTAAATACTATCGTGAGCGATGAACGCATGACGACCAACACTGAAGCTTTAAGGACATTTCGTAATGATTGTAGAACAATGTCGCATTTAAAAATCTAAAATCGACTTTTTATCATATTTGGATACTACATTGACTAAATATGACGGCTACATAAAAAAAATTCCATGTGTTTTAAATTTCAAATTAATCAGTCGGTAAAGTGACCGATTTGATAGAAACATGTGATTTTAGACATTTTGTTTGTTTGTATGTCAATTTTCAAATAATAAGAGAATATGAATTAAAATAGTTATGGCAAAAACTAATATGATTATATTATTTTGAAATGGCTGCCCTGTAAAGTTTACTATTTGTCAGATCTGTCACTATTCTACGACTATGACGATTTTAGATTTAGTATATTTATTGATTCTGTGATTGATTCAAAATAATAATATTATATTATAGTTTACGCCGGAAACATTCTAAATACCATTTTTTAGTTTTGGTCTGTTTTCATTTATTATATAGGTACTTACTATGTTCAAAATGATTATTCACGGTGTAAGACAATTTGTACCTGATTCCTTATTTAGCATAGATTTGAATTCTGTCTGAATTGAGTCGATTTCAACTGAAACTCTTTATTGTTTACCACCAGTTGCGGTGGGTAATAGAGCACAGATCGATGAGGTGGGTCAGAGGGTCGTCGTACGGGATCGGCGGAAATGCATGTCTAGTCTGCTCCGTGTTTATTCGCGCTTCCACCCATCTCAATAACTCTAAAACTAATTTATAACAAAAAAAAGAATTTAACTAGCGTAGACTTATTACCAACAGCACGGTTTTGTAGACAATTAAAACGGAATGATAAAAGTTAATTATGTATTTCATTGCTGTATTGTTACGTATCACTTGTTTTTAAATTGAAAATAATTTGCATACCTTAATAACAAACCGACCTTCCTTAGCATAAAGGCGATTTTTTTACAACTTCAGTATGTTCGATACGCACTTCACCAGGCCACTGGCCAAGGTTTGCTAGAGCCCGAAACACATCTTGTCATTCGCGAAGGAGGCTTCTGATTGCTACTATAACAAAAGAACGTTTCCATCGTATTATCCCCAATTATTCCCCAGTGGAAATAACCAAGATACAATGAAATAAATTAATATTTAGCAGAATCAAGTCGCATGTTTTTCTGCTTTTATAGTTGGAACTCTTTGTGACGCACGTGTCAAAACAACAATGCATTTGCGATTTAAGATTTTTGTCTTAAACTATTCTTTTTATTTATATTTACATTCTGTCCCTTAATTTGATTTAGTAACAGTAAAAAAGTGTCCGTAAAACCTCAAATAAATTATTCCATTATTTCTTTAGGTCTTTAATAAAATCGAACAAATCTTGACGGTAATTGTCAGTAAATAGCAAAATACTTATCCAATGATTAGTAAAAGTTTCACAACGCCTAGTCACCTCATCAGTAGTGCAGAAGCAGCAATAAATGGCGGCCGACGGTTGAGAGCCGTAATTAAAGTAATTATTTGTTATTAGTCCGCTCTCGTCCCGCTTTTCGCTCGGAAAAGTGAAGCTGCGAGCCACACCGCAATCTGAAAATCCCACTGCCACTTAACTGCATTTGTATCGGCTAGCTTTCCACATTTTCTCAGAGTTTGCCCGATAAATATTCGAGTGATATTTAACTCGGCTATGCTCGATGTGGAAAGCCTCGGGATTGGGTAAACAGTTTGATCATCTTCAGCAATAATAGAAATCACTTAAGCGGTGGAGCCGCGAAGGTCGCGGACTTCCTGCGCGCCGTGAGGCAAGTTCCGGAGTTGGGTAACGGAGCCCGCCTTGCTAATCGTTCCTCTTGCCTCATATTGAATATACATTATTTTTCCATTTGCCCTTCAATTATTTTGTTCCTTTGTTCTGCAATGCAAATTAATGTTTTCGGTTTTGATAAAATTCCTTTAATTATTTTTCCCGCTACTGTCACCAGATCCTCGCCAATGGAGCGAGGCGGCGGTGGCGGCGTGGCTGCGTTGGGCGGCGCGAGAGTTCTCCTTGGAGGGCGTCGCGTTGCAGCAGTTTGCGCGCGCGCAGGGCAAAGACATCTGCGCCATGGGCAGAGAGGAATTCGTGGCTCGAGCGCCGGCCTTCATGGGAGACATCCTGTGGGAACACTTAGAAATACTTCAAAAAGGTAAAACTTTTTTACTACAATAGTACATCGCATCGAATGTCGAGGGCGTTTAAGAAATACTTAATCTGTATGTCAGACGTGGAGAAGGAGCGGTCGCTGCTAGCCAACGTGCCGCCCAACATGTACGAGAGCAACGTGTGCCTGCCCGAGCTGCCCGACTACGTGCCGCCTCCTGCCCATCACTACAACAACAATAACAACACCGGTACGTATTTAACCCCTTAACTTGAATGGAATATGGCATTGTTCGTTAGCATTCTCAAATTGCTTTAACATGCCATAATTGTAATCAGTAGAGCTGTCTGCTGATAAACATATGCGCTTCTTATCTACGTGAAGTTACTCTCATTAAACTTCCATTGACGATAACCCGACAATTATTTAATAGTTACGACCCGATAAAACCATATACAACTGTTAGCAATTAACTCTGAACATCATATTTAATTGTAATCGTCAGATTTATTCAACGACTCGGCCGGTCTCGTCCGTCTAGAAAAATTACAAAGATAATAAAAATTCACATCGCTCGGTGGCTGCGCTGTGTCACGTATAAAAGCTCATTTCCACGAGATATAAAGCGGAGTTTAGTACGTTGTAAATCATCGCTGCGGGATGTTTTGACTGCGGCCGCGAACGAACAGCTACTGAAATAATAAATTAACTAAGAGACGGGCCTTTCTTGACATCGCTACCACGGGTGGTCTCAACGCTGCATTCGTCTAAACGTGTATCAGTCCGACGTGAGGTTTCTAAAATACACCCATAGAAAGAAATTAAAACTCATTTTGCAATTTCACTTCACACACCGCTTCCATGGTGGCTTGATGTTGCACCACCTTGTACAACCCCCGAGAAGCGCAACGCGACCTTGGCGCGGTTTTTCCGCTCTCTTTCAGTTCGCATACTCTTTATGTATGTGTCATCTTGATATTTCATAACTGGCTGAACCACACGTGCGTGACTGATGGTTGCTTGTACATGGCTGATTCTATGTTTCCACGTTATATAGAACATACGCTTGAATATTTTTCGAGATTTCGATTATAATTTTAAAGTCTAAAAAAGCTTAATTATAAGCTCAATTATCGTGACATGCAGTGTTGTCCTCTCCGTACTAATTACTAATATCTATATTATGTTCACTCATCTTTTTAAATAAAAAAGTCTTAATTAAAAGAGATAAGATTAAAGAATATGTTAATGGCGTAATATTTTGAAATATTGTCTCGTTATTGCTCTGGTGATGTGAGATCTGAAGTTCCTTTGATCTTTAATATTTATTGAGAAACATTAGGATCATGTTTGTGACAAATTCTCAGATGTATGGTCCGGATCATGTGTTAATTATGTCCTGATTAATTTGTCTAAATAATTGTTTCTTTCTTGTAAAAATCTTTGCCAAATCGCTTTATTTGTTTCCAAAGTGAGGCCACGTTCGCTTGAGCAGTTTTCGCGGCGCCATTGACGTCTGCGTGAATGATAAAGACGCTCAAGGTGACGCACCCCTTCCACGCACCTTCACCGCCCGCTTACAGCCGCACGGGCCAGTCTTCAGCAATTGTTCGGACGCGTTGTTACCATTTGCCGCAGCTTACCTACGCGTTGAAAACACATTTCTAATAATTAGTTTCATAGAGAACCGAAGTCGAGGAATCGGCTCAGTGCGTGTATACGACAGTGATCAGTGCTAAATATGGCAAAGTTGGATTCCGGCTGAGATATTATGTTCTTGCATCCGAGCTCCCGCCAGAGGGACTCCAACGATCTGGATCCATTGTTAATATGGCGGGGTGAGTGACAACGGACGATTAATGTCTCATAGAAACATATCGGCTTAGGTGCACATCGTGCGGGAACTCGAGCGTTAAACAATAATGCAATCGGGCCGACGCCACGAAGGTCAATATAAAAATCTCCAAATTAGGCAACTCGGTACGAGGATTCGTGCAACCTCCATCCGCGCTGTCGCAAGCCGCGCATCCTCGGCTTGCGCACAAGCAGCGCTAATCGCCGGACGTGCGCCGCCGCCGCCGATTGCCCAACCGCTGCTAAGCGAAATACCGTTTAAACAGAATAAAAGATTCCGAGGAAATACCATACCTACAAATATTTGTAACATTTGCGATTTTATTCAAATCTCCATTTCTGCATTCGTTTAAAGTCTTCGCGATCCGAGCGATCTCCATATTTAGTTCAGTGATCGTGAGTCAGAAACTCGTTGACCAATGGAGATAAATTGCATTAGCATACGCGACAGCGCTAGGAGAGAGACCGAAGTTAGGCAAGATGCGAAACGCCTTGTGCCCTTTTAGCCAACGATATATCACTCAGCTCCGCCCAGACCACGTCCTGTTCAATTATAATGCACCTTAAGAGACTTTTTCATACAATTAAAGAAAAAAACAATCAAGGTTCCCATTTATACGAAGAATAAAAAAATGTTAGATCATTAATTCAATTAGCACAAAACTAGCAACTAAAACCGCGTATAAGGTAATAACCGAAAGGATTTTCATTCCACCTGTCACGCTACGAATATTTGTTTTATAAAAGACTAAAAGTTTAGGCTGTATTTAAATTTATCTCATTTCAGTCAGTAAATAGATGTATTTATCGATCGATGTAAACCGTTTCTCGTGAATGGCACAATGGCGAAGCGCGTGCGCGTGCGGCCGTAACGTGATATCAATGATCTAATATAAGTTACGCGTCACTCGGGCGTCAATCGTAGCCGTCGATAGGAAAATATTGAGCTTTCTTCGATATCAATAAAAAGATACGTGTCACTCGAAGCGGCCACATCCGGGAACCATTGTGCTTCAACTGGCTTCCGGTGCAACCCGATACACTCCTGCGCACGTGCGGACCTTTTCAAATTACGTAAATCGGCACAATGCATGATTTAGAAATCAAAATCAAATTGAAAATACACAGGTTAATGAATTTCTCTTTGCTTTCTTATCTATAACTCTAACATGACAGCCTTTGAGGCTCTACTTATATATAAAAGGAGACATCTCGATCTAATAATGAAGTAAATGGAACATGTTGGTCCATTGTTAAAAAAGGGCCCAAAAACATAATACATTGTTAGCAAGGCCGGCGGCCGAGAAGGCAAGAAGGGCAACTCAAGGGTTGGCTGACGAAAAGAGCAAGGGTGCTGCGTGTATTGATAGTGCTCACCGGCAGGAGCCCTTCAATGAGCTCTTAACGAGAGCCCTCTCGAAGCGAGATTCCTTTTTCAGGTGGCCTTGATTCGATTTGTAAAGTGATTGTGGATAATGCAAGAATTCAAATAAAGCGCTGCGCGGGGTCAGCCGAGTCACAAAGGATTTGAATATTCAAAAAAGATCCCTATCGTTCGTATATTATTATTTTCGTCGAAATTAAACGTTCAGTCGCGATAACATTTGATGGATCAATAAAATTTTATTCCCTTTTAATAACAACCGTCGAACCGTAAAAGTTAACTAATCGAAAAGTTATCTACGAGTCTTATACGGCCGTTCAGATTATCCATAATCGTTGCGGACCATTATTTGAGCGTGAAGCCCCCGTTTACGTACTGCAATTATTTCGCTAGAACAATAGAATGTCAGTGTGGTTCGTGGAAGTCTGCAAATAAATACAGTCGGCCAGATAAGAAGTTATCGCTGCCACAGTTAACGCAGTCGTTTTCAGTTGTAACAAGCCATCGCTCTGAATGCTAATCGCTGCTTACTTTGCGTTGCCGGCTTAATATTATAATATGTGAATAAAGTCCTTAATCCTCGTAAGTCTGCCTTTCGTTGAAATTTAAGAAACGTTCATTGTTCGCGAATTACGCAGGTGTTTCAGCTCGCACCTAAATACGTTCGCACACGGCAAGTGTGGGAATTCCGTCGAGTGAAGGAGTTTAGAGTAGGCGATGTTCGATATTGGTGTCGGGTTACAGGGCGGCTCCAGAGCCACAAAGCCCACGGCGGGCCGATTGAAGTGCCGAATTCAATTAATTGCGCTATTTGCAGAGCTCTGCCCATTGAAGGAATCCCTCGCAAAAACAAATACTTGCCGAGACTTCATTATCCGATATTGAGTTGCGCACATTACACATATAACGAATAATTCGTTATAATGTAAAGTCGGATTTTGTTCACTCGCTATTGTAGAATATTCCCGAGAAGTAGGGACTCAACAATAGCAAACGTACGTTTGAATTCTAAGAAACAATTAACTAATTACCGAGATATCAGTAACGATACATTGTTATGAGCATGTCTTTTTAAAACACAAATCCTTTTTTGTAAAACTATTTACGTATTCTTTACGCACTTTTTTTATTATTGTGATGATATTCACCCAATTCATGTAGCATTGAAAAGCCACGTAAAGAAGAGAACGCTTTTTTGCGCTCTGTGCCAAAGTCACAGTTTTTGTAAAACTAAATAAATTTTAATATCTTATCGGCCGGGGACGGACGGCGTGGGCGTTGTCCTTCATGGGGGCTGAGATATCGCTGTCACAACATTGCTCTGTTGGGACATGCGACTACTGTTTCTACTGTTATCTACATTGTCATACGGCTAAACCCTGATAAAGGATTTCTACAAAAAATTGTTCACATTTAATGATAACTTGTAAAGTAAGTCTCCGTTCGTACTCTAAGTATATTGAATATACATATTAAATAATTAGTAGAAGCGTCTCGTCCAGAGCCAAGAGGAATAAATAATAATTGGTACGGGAAATGACGTCCCAGGCCCGAGCACGCTCCAATTTAAAATACAGGCCACTGCCGTGCTGTTAGTGAGTTTAGTGTTCGTCTCAAAGTCGTCGAAACCAATCTAAGGGACATTTGAAATGAACTCAATCACTTTTGTAAGTTTGTTCTTGAAGACCGGATGCGTTCTTATAATTAAAACAAAGTTCATGAAAAAAGTTTGGCCATTTATTAAGGCACTCGACGATTAGCATATGACATTTACATAATATCACTATAAGTATTTGTAACATTTTTTTTTTTTTTCTTGAATACCATAAATTTACTTAAAGTAAGGACAACGTTTTAAATGGTAATACAGTGATAATAGCATTTCTTAAAAAAAAACGATATACTTAGCCTAGAAAGGTTTAAGCGTTATCGTGGGTACGTAATTCCTCACCTATACTTGTGCATTGCGCCGCCTGGCAAGGGATAGCTGCTTCATATTCGAAGCAGGTCATATGTGAGTGAATAGTATTTTTAAATTTCGACGCCAAAGGAATGAATACGAGTGGACTTTGTGCGATCGGCCGCCGCTAATATTACTACGCCTTTTGCGATCCATATTACGCATATGCCATACGTAATTCACCCTTTTTTGTTGCCGACTCTGCATTCTTAAGGAAATATCTGACGAATAGATAAATGAAATACCTGTGAAGGTAAATGAGACGACAGCATAGATTTGACTAATCTTACTATACATAAAGTATTTCAAATGAGGCCATTTCCTTCAAAAGACAATATCCCGTATATGTTTGTTTCCGCCGTACGTTTGTTGAGGTATAGAAACCTCATTTCCCTCGTCATTTCCCGCGCAAGCCTCCCTCAATAATTCAATCTCGGCCTCGTTCCAACGTCGCTCTGCAAAACTTGCACTCACAATTTAATGCTGTTATGTTAATTTTATTATAAAACCTTTAAAACGCAAAAATGTTTGAAACGATTCACCAAAACTAAATACTAATTGAGTTCCCATTATAAATCTTGTTGAAACGAAATGTGTATCTTCCATCGCGTAGCCGTCTTCGTCCGCTAGACAATGGCGTTCCATATCCGGTAGCAGTCGGCAGCACACGTGCTCAGGTGGGCATTATCCCGAGCTCCCTTGTCCCCGCTTTTGTGACCTTAGAGACCCACCCCTGGTAACTTGACCCGGTTTCAGCACCGCCTCTCCAAACCCTCCCAGTCCCATCCGATTCGATAATTCTATGACAATATTAGAAATTGATATTTGCGAACATACATCTGTCTCTCGGATTTTACCTGCCTTCAATTTGAAGTATTTCTTTTTAGGGAGAGAAAATTTCGGTTACATTTATAAGCTATGTGCATTATATGTAGAAACGACTTCTTTCGTGGAATGTAGATATTATTACAAATATTTATTTTCTTCGCACTGCCAATATTATAACGATGTTCAGCCGCGAGTCGTTCCCAAGTGTCGATCGTCGGTCGTCGGTCGTCACTCAAACAATAGGCGAGTCAAGGTCATTCGCGTCCAAAGTCATAATCATTACTGTGATTGCAGCTTACTTTGTCATTCACATTTATTTATACATTTTAAATTAACCATCAAGTTTATATTTAACTTAGTTTTTGGACAACAGCCATTCTCTACTGTGCAGCCACATCATATTTGATTATGATAATGAGGACTGGCACTCGCTCTGAGCGGAGGGGTCTTCAGGGCGGTCTTCAGCATAAGCGGCTAAAAAGAAGGGACGTACCGAGCCTTATAAAAGATTTACCTCTTAACATCAAGAGAGTCGTGGCTCTATGTCGAGTATTCTTGAGGATAACATGACTGAGTAAAATCAAAAAACAATTTATGCCATTTAAAAAAAAAAAAAAAAAAAAAAAAATGAGTTTAGTTATTAACGATTTTTGGAGTTTATTTGATCTATTATCTCTGATGAGTCCGAATAGAAGAAATGGATAATTTTGTTAAATATTTTATCAGCTCTCAGAACAGCAAAAAATCGTATGTTGGTGTGTTGTAGGTACTTACCTATATTATATAATATTGTTAATAGGACATATTGTGTCATTTTCTTGAATTTCTACTGAGCCTGCGTAAATCAAAACTGTGTGTTTCCACTTAAACGAACGTCTACTAAAACATTATTTTTGTCCCTTCTGGAATTCTTTTAATTGTGACAATAATGAGTACGTTTATTAATTAAGAGTTATTTTCCTTGAATGATAACGCACAGGAAAAACCACTTCTCTCGCGAAACATTCGTTAAATTGTATTGTAAACAATTAAGACACGATTGTTATAATCAACATTAGAGCGTATGCTAATTTTCACGAGTCTCGATTAGCAAAAAATCAACGGTCGTGCAACAGTTGGTCTCCGTAGCAGGTGGCGTGACAGGTCGCCACTCGGGACGCACACTTGCAGCCGCTCGGGCGAACTCGGCCGACTCTTCGGGTGGCACAATACGCGGCCGCCCTCTCTAGATCCGCCCGAGGCGGAAAGCTCAGTCGACGATTAAGCGCAAAGCGGTGCGGTTCGGTCGACCGGTGACGGAGCGCGTGAATTGCTCAACGTAATTACTATTTAGAACGGTGACAACTTTTTCTCGTGCATTGAACCGTTCAATTAAGTTTCTTTTAATTATTTTTAATATATTGCGATCAAATGAGGCAATCGTAGTGTTACGGCGGTGCGCATCCGCCATGCTGCTAGTAGAGCCGCGAGAAGCCGCCGGGCCTCCCTGCGCGGCACCGATCCATCTCTCCATGTCCACTGCCGCAAAACTTCACTTCTCAGACTACAGTGCTAAAGTGAAACCTTATGAAAACAGTGAAACGGACAGCAGGTTGCACTACGACCAAGCGTCGAACGCGGCCAGATTAGGTTACGAACTACCAGTGAATAATTGCAACAAGTTGCAGTACGAGCAGGGCAGGCTGTCCTTTGATCCCGCCGTCGAGAGCGTTTGCACTGACTCGTCCTACATATTACCTGCAGGTTTGCTTCTCCTCTCAATATTGGTTATCAACATTATGCGGACTTTAATCGCTTGTCAAAGCGAGTAAGGAGACAATTAATAACTTATGATTTATGATCACAATACTCAAAGAAGTTAGACATTTGGTTAATCATAATCCTATAATTAAGTTTGGTTAAGAGCACTGCTTTAGCTTTAGTTAGTTTTACCCATTTGAGTATTGAAGTTGACGAGTCCATTCGTGCGAAGACATAGAAGCCAACTTGTTATGATATCGTCGAGGTGAGAGTCGAGCTTCATTGAGAGCCGTGGCCGGAAGCACTCAGACGGCCATGTTGGATCCGGCGCGGGCGCACCTCGCCGAACTTCCGCCGCGTGAGACGCATAAAAAGCTCGTAGAGTATTGTCTCGTAGCCATAGCTTACATTTGCATACACAAAATACGTGAAAATAATGTGAACACTTCATCTACATACCATTATCGATATTACAATGAGTTGAATCATAACAGAGTTATGTTTCCTTCTCTTGTGCTGCGATAAATCAATTATTATTAGCGTTTCCTCAACGCGACCGTTTAAATGTACCTATTACACCCAGTGTTAAAGCAGAAGAGTGTTGCGTCGACAGTGCCATGTCCGCTGGAATCAGCTAGCACATAGGTGTTTAACGGTGCAGGTCGATCACCTGAGCGTAATCACTTCCTTCCTTTTACAGAAGCAAATCTCAATCGATCAGTTTACGTGCGTGAAATCGCGAATTACTTTTTCGAATCCGTTAGGTTTCTGCAAATAAAGAGACATTCATTTATAATTTATGGTAGATCGATGACTTCATGACTGATACTGAACATAATTCCGCTGCATTATTGCATTATTCAGCAATTACATTGAGTATTAACATATAATATCTTTCCTTATATTTAACCATACATATATATATAGTTCGTGTCCCACGGTGATAATAACGGTTCAGTAGTTGATAGTTAATTCTGGTTTCACCGATTCTCACGAATCTATAAATTAATTGCCGACGAAATCCGGTCAGAATAAATATATCAATGAAATATGGTAATCGATGTCATCTTTTGCTTTTAACAACTTTTCCTATTCACTTAATATCGGTGAGAATTCAATACATTCGCGGCTTAGTATTTTGTGGCGAAAATAATTAGCTATCGAACAAAAATAACCGACTTCTAGATATAGGTCTTTACGCCGCGGAATATTAAAAAGATGTTAGTTAGCGCAAATTATTTAGTTGGCCACCTGTCTAACGCAGCTGGTGCGGACGACTGACTTTGACCTCTGCTCAGATAACCTCCATTTACGTACAATAACTTTGAGACAATGCGACCCATAAAAAGAATTCGTTGTAACATTATTTTCCGTCACAGCTCTGGAAATGACGTCGTGACGCTCATTCGCATACACTTCCACCAGCCGACGAGATTAACTTTGGAATCGCCTTCCTGTGCACTTCGCTGTAGTAACTATTTTTTCCTAGAAATTGCACACGTCTCCTAATAGAAACTTGCAATAAACAGCGTCGAACGGCAAAGCTGGCTTGCTTTTTTGTCATTAGCACTTGACTAAGAAGAAGCGTTGCGGCGTCAGTTAGGTAACTGATAATTTAACACAAATACTCCTATGTGTCTATCTGCCGCGTGGCTTTTTATGGCATTAGAATGGCAATAAATGTTATTGACGTCACAATACGGTGTCACGTCTGGCCATTGATGCGTCCGGGCTACTTCCGTTGTCGTAGCGCCACGACATCCTGCCTCGACACAAGAATTATAGTTCCTTGTTTAAATATATAGCCGTAATAAGCTCGCGATGTATGTAATATAAGTACGTATGGTTATAAAAACGGAATATTACAGCACCAGCTTTAAATGTTGTCAGCATATGTTTCGAGGAGGGCAAAGTTTTATGGGTTCCCCATGTCATACGCCGCGATCCCCGTACGGCAGGTCCCGCGCTGTTTTTGTAACGACCGACTCGTGCGCAGGTGTCAACACACCTGCCAAACTAACGATTTGAGGCTACGTAGCATATAGCACTATCGCAGAATTTACATTATGTTTCAATTCATACCTAAGAGCATTAGAGGTAATAACAAAAATAATTCAACATTAAAATATACCAATAATTTCTTATATCCTAATACATGCCAAGTAACGCTTGACTTTAACTTTAAGTAAACAATTTGACATACACAGTGGAAATTGCTCTTAGCACGTTCTTTTATGACAGAAAACAGCGACGCATTCATTTAATTATTAGGAGCGTAAACACACATTTTATTAGCAATAAATATCGGAGATCTGCCGTTATGATTTCGATGGATCTCGTCCAGGAAAATCGGCCGGAGTTCTTTATTTATAAAACAAGTTGAGGTCACAGCTCGGTTTCGGACTTTTGATGGAAAATAATTTATTTAATATTCGTACTTTTTAGCTTTTCAATTATTTAAAAAGCTTAATTAAAATTCAGCAAGTGCGTACGCTTCGGACAGATTCGAGTAGAAAAACAATAATTACGTTTGATAGAAATGGCGAAGAATGGCATCCGGCTGGACATTTATATATTTAACATTTCCTGTCGAATGATGCTCCAATTTTTAAGTTTGATTTAAACTCTCGCGATGACAGCAATTTCCTTTTATTTTGAATTTTGACGCTTTCCCACGTCTCACTTTCAAATTGGGCCTCACATCGCCAACGTGTTGCATACGAACGAACTTTTTCAAAATTCAAAACTTATTTTAGACAACTTCCAATTAAGTTATGTACTATGTTTAATTAAAAAATATAATCGTTAACGAGCAGCGTCTGTCAAAATAGCGGCACACGGATGACATCCAGCTATCGTCGGGAGCTCACCTGCGCCGGCGCTCTAAATTAAAAATCATATTCAACATCCGTTTCAGATTAGGAATTGGCGCAGTGAACTCATTCCTTCTGAGTAAATTACGCAAACCCCATTAATTAAAACGCAGATGATTTAAAGATGTTTGTTAACACCAATTCACCTTCCTATACTTACCTAATAGGACACGTTCGCAGTAAATTAAGACCTAGATATAATAAATAACGATATTTACGGGAGGAAAATCTCGTGAAAATAGTGGATCATGATGACAGAAATGATATCTAACAGATAATGTTGAAGCCAAAGTTGATGAAGAGCTCATTAGAGAGAGGGTCATGACTCATCTGGTTGGAGTATTGAGAGCTTTTAGGGCCGCAAAAGACGGACTGCTCGTTCCGCGCCAATAGCCGGCGAGCTCGCGACCTTTCGACCTGGCGCGCGGGGCGTGGCCGCGCCTCATTGGCCGCCCCGCCCCGCGACACCCGCCGCCACGCCCCACCGCCACTGCTCTCTCTGGTATATTAGATAAAACGCTCATTTATGACATAATTATTTTATATTCCGCCTAAAACCTCTTGTCCACGACGATTTCGACGTCAGATATCGCTCACCATAATATACATGCGCCGGAGCGTACCTACATATTATTCTTGTCTCGCGGTGACGTACGACAGGTCAGAGGTCAGTGAAGAGTCCCGCGAGAGTGCTTCGCCTATTCTTAATGTTTTGGAGCAGATTTATGGACGCCGCTGCGACGACTGCAGGGAATTGTAATGAGCCGCCGCTGCTTCATTAAAATACTCGCGCTCGTCGATTTGACGCCGCAAAGTGATTTGTTTACGTGTCTTTGTTCTTTGGATCGTTAAATCACTCTTTTCATGACGCGTTGAAAGAACATTGGGTGTTTTTAACTTTGTTAGGAATGTTACTTGGAGCGTGAAATATTTGGACGGTTTTTCATGATAGGTTAAATTTAAAAATAATAATGTAAAAGGTTTGTCTGTTCTTGCTTTTTAATAATAATAATGAATCGTTTATTTGCAAAGAAAGTGGTTGATAAATTCAGATTGATAAATTATACAAGAAGCCATATAAAATAGGCATACAAATGTCATATTAATTATTATAATGTCATAATAACAAGAACAGTTAAGTTGTTAATAATTGTTGTCAAAATGTTGTATTTAGATGAAACTCTTTCGCGTTTATGTTCTATACCTACAGTTATGTGTATCGCCTACTGTCGTAACAATAGATTACAGAGCGTTTGCGTGTCAGTTGAGTGGTGTACCATAGACCTGCCCGAGCCTTGCGATGGGCAACAACAAAAGCACGCACAGAGACCGTGGGAATGACACCTAAGTCATTATAATGATAAAGTAGGTACGCTGACTTAAAAAAATACCTAGGGTTATTTTATTGAAATTATTCATATTAACCAAAATGCAGGCAATGTACCTACCTATGCAATTAAGCTTTTGTCCCAAAATGAAGCAACCATTAACAGAACGAATTGCCCCAATCTTGAGTTGTGTCTTCGTAGCGTTCGTGTTCATCGGGTATAGATTACAAGTGACAGTCGGCAGATGATCAATAGATTGTGAATGAACGGTGATCGTTTGAGTAGTGAGCTGTGGCCTGTGACCCGGCCGGCCCCGTATAATAATATATGGCCGAGCTGATACAATTATCCAATCAGTGGCTGTTCACGCGACGCCGCAATGATTTGAATTGAATTACGAATGGATTTCGTCTTTACGACCAGCTCTTTGGGATTTCAATACTCTAAGTACCTAACTGGCATTAAATACGTCATCGGTCCTCAATCCGATACATACTTTAGATTCAAATCTACATCCCACTTGAGGTGTTTCTAGTCAAAGTAGTAGGCGCAAAGTAGAGGGGAATATCGTTGAATTTCTATAACTGTTTAAAAGGGAATTATATTAGACAATATTCCTTATGCATCGCTATTGCGCAGTGTGTGTCGGTAAAGCGGCCCGTGGCAGGCAGCGCAGGCTCTGTTGAGCGCGCGGCCGCAGTCCGCAGAACAAAGGGCGCGCCGTGAACCGCGACCGTCGCGGCTCGCTACCCGCGCACACCGTCACTATTTAACTCACGCACACCATCACGCACAAACACATCCACACCCGCATCTCTCACTACGTGCCCTTGAGTCGGCCGTATGCGAATACATCCCGGAGACCTATCTGATAAAACGTTATCTTTTCCAGGAGGCTACACGACGGGCGGCCCCCGCGACGGCGGCGGCGGCTACTACGGCGAGAGTGGCGGCCCACCCCCGGCACCCACGGCGTCGTCACCCCTCGAGGAGTTCTACCCCCCGGAGTACCCGCCCCCCGCGGCCCCCGCCCAGCCCTACCTCGACGACTACTATCACCACGCTCATGCGCACACGCAGCCCCTCATAGCGCACGAACACAAATACCAGCCACACTCCTACACTAAGCCCTATCCTAGAAGTGAGTAAGAGTTCGGCAATGCTACGGCTGCGGCGACATCCACCAGCCACTACGAGTCTCTAGCAGAGGACCGACAAAAACGTTGATGGTGTTTTTAACATTTTTAACTTTACAATATCCCCATTACAGCGACTGGCGCGCGTTACGGCGAGGTGTACGGCGAGGCGTATCCGGAGTACGGCGGCGCGTGCGCAGAGTGGGGTGAATGGGCGAACGAGCAGCATCCACTGCCCCAAGATAAGCTGACATATCCCGCGGCCGGACCTTGTTTCACCGGTAAAGAATCCTAATAAATGCCCACTTAACCGTAAATATTTATAACGCTCGTCTCTTAATAAAAATAAAAGTCCGGGGCTCGCTCAGCCCGTACGGATACAAACGTGCGGTACATCGTAAAGCAAGTTCGGTTCACGTGTGCAGGGTCAGGTCCCATCCAGTTGTGGCAGTTCCTGCTCGAGCTGCTCACGGACAAAAGCTGTCAAGGATTCATCTCGTGGACCGGAGACGGATGGGAATTCAAGCTCACCGATCCCGATGAGGTGCGTACGCTCGACATCTTAATTGTCTATTACCTTAACCGAGCCGAGAGTGATGTGGTGACGCTTGGCAGGTGGCGCGGCGATGGGGCATCCGCAAGAACAAGCCCAAGATGAACTACGAGAAGTTATCCCGCGGCCTTCGCTACTACTACGACAAGAACATCATCCACAAGACGGCGGGAAAGCGATACGTCTACCGCTTCGTGTGTGACCTGCAGAGTCTGCTCGGGTGAGTCTTCGTTCCTCTTCCGCTACTCCGCTAAAGAGTTCAGAGACCAACGTGACGTGTTCGTTTCGCAGGATTTCGCCAGAGCAGCTGCACGCGATGTACGAGCCCAAGATGGAGAAGAAGGACGACGACTGA